TCTGTAGCCCAGGGGCCTCAGCACACACTTGGGGTAAGGTAAAGTCTTTTCTGGGTAGGGCTTAATGATGCCAGGAACAGCCAATCTAGTGATGGAAGTCAAGTTCAAAGTGGAAAGGAGCAGGAATGCCCTTTTCTCAGTAGGTCTTGGGCTTTCTTGGAACTGGATTTCAGGGAGTCTAGAAGTCTGAGCTGTGCTCCTAAATTATTATCACAAAAAATAGGTGTGGGGCAAGGATTAATGGGGCCCCAGAGTCTCAGACAAGCATGCCAAATTTTACCATTCAGGTTACCTAGCTTTGGGTTGTTCTCTGCCTGTATCCTTCTTGTTATTTTTCAGCTAGCCAGGGTAAATGGCTCCTGTCTTAAATACCAGCTCCATTCTGCAGGCAGAAGTTGCTTTATTAGCTGAGGACTGAGAAAAAGTCTGAGGCTGCATCTGGGTTCACCAGGAAACACAGCCAGAATTGACTGGCATCATCAGCCAGGTGTAAAAGATCAGAGAGGGGAACACATGGGTCCACTGGCCTGGTCTTCTTTGGTCTGGGTAGTCCTGCTTCAGGGCCCTGCCTCAACCCTCCTGCAGCATCAGAAGCGAAGAAGCCGCCAAACAAACAAAACAATTCATGTGACTCAGCCTGACCTGATAGGGGCCCGTCTCTCCATCAAAGAATAGTTCTATCATGTTTTTCAAATTAATCTTCTCAACCAATGCATGACGGATCCAGTCACTAAGACGGGAAGAGTAACCGATATTCTTTCACACCACAGTCTCTGCGTGTACCTCTGCATTCAGACCAAAGTACCAGGGAAAGTGTCCCGGGAAGAACCCAGGATGTCACATTCTTGGCTTTTATGTTTTAAAGAGCCACAAGGCGGGGCTCAATCGGAGAGACGGAGCACTCAGTAGGAGCATGCACTTCGGGCTGGCTGGCTTCAGACAGTGCTGGCCCTGCCACTGGACCCACACGTGGGCAAGTCACTTAACCTCTCCATGCCTCGATTTGTTCAGACATCAGGTGTGTAAGAACCAGAGTACTTCCCTCAGAGAGTCGTGACCATCATATTAAATACATAAAACACTTGGAATAGTGCCTAGTACATCAATGACAGCTACTGTTATTTTGGGGAATGTAAGCTAAAAGGACTTTTCCTTGTCTGCCACAACTTGACTAAAAAACATGACTGAAAAGAAGAAAAATATTCGAGAAGCTATACCAGAGCTAGATATTGACAGAATATTAGAAAGAGAGGGCCTCATCCGATCCTGTCGCCCTCCCCCATCTGGAGTCAGCACCAAGGATGAGCAAGGGGTTTCCAATAGAACATCTCGGAAAGACTTGTGGTCCCTTCCGGACACTTGTGCTCTCTCCCCAAGTGGGTACCCAAGAAAGGAAGTGTGTCCCCAGAGTCGATCTCCCCGTTGAGCCAGCGTGGGGCAGGACTAGGCTGGGAGAGAGCCCAAGAGCCCCCTCGGTTTTCCCACAGCCCATGGGAAGTGGAGGGAACAACCCATCCTAATCTTTCCTAGGAACCCACAAAGGGCGAAGCAGGGACGGAAGACAGAGTCCTCTGGCCTGCACGGCCCTCACACTCAGAACAAAGAGATGAGCGTCGGCCATCACCAGACCGTAGACAATTCATCAACGCTGATTTGTGAGACTTGTGAGTCGCAACCTGGGAGGCTGGAGGCTGGCATTTGAAGGGCTGTTCCGTTTGGTTTAGTACGGTATACATCAACACTCAATGTGCAAAATGTGGCGTTCCAGCATGGGTGACTTCTACATGGTGACAATGGTCACTCACGGGAGAAGGCTCCTTCACATCTTTCTCTGCACCACTGAACGGCTGTTTCATTCTGGCCCCCCACCCCTCTACCCACACCCCTTCTTTTTCATGATCTAATTTCCCAAAGGCAACAACCAGTGCCCTCCCGCCTCCCCTACGGCACCCTGTGCATCTATTTCATGGGTCAGGAAGTGGCCCGGTCAAGACGTGACGCCTGTGAACAGCGTGGTCCCGGCCTCTCACATGCCTGTTCATCTCTCACCCTCCACACAGGAGATGGGACACAGGAGGGTGAGGGAAAGAAAGCTTGCCACCAACTTCGGTGTTCCCACCACCAGCTGCGTGCTCTGGAACCACTTTATCTGTGACATAAACGTATTGGACCTCATTGTAGCCAAGCTTCTTGGGAGCTCTAAGAGTCCCTGACTTATTGTCATCCACTCAGCTGCCACTTTACCTGCCCTACGCTGCCCTTGGTCTCCTCTCCCTTTGACTCCTGCTCGTCTGTGCACTTGGCACTGGGAGTGACCCACGGCCCATCCCTGAGAAAGCATTTTGCCAAACTAGACTCAGAAGAAGAGCTCCCGCCGGCTGCTGCCACCTCCCGCCGTCTCCCGCCGTCTCCTGGTGCCAATCAGCCATGACCACGACATTTGCAGAAGGACATTTTTAGAAGGAGCCCTGTGCAGAGGGATAGGATTGCATAATCACTCCGTTTTAATGAAGGAGTGGAGGGGGGGGAGGGTGGAGAAGCAAGGAGATCTTGGCACAGACACAAGGTTTTAATGAATTGTTGAAGTCAGAGCTCTCGGTGTGGAGATTCGAGACAAGACACAGGGCCTGGCAAATTTCTCATTTGCCATGGAAATACGTATGGGAGCACTGATGCCCAAACAAGATTGTTTTGACTGAATCAACTAGACAGTTAAGTTAGACAGCTGGTCAATTCAATTGACTATTTACTTGTATGGGCTTTTTTTTTTTTTTTTTTAATCTAACTCATTTATCCACTGACTGGCTGGTTATTTTCCTAGATTGGTTGAGTAAACAAGTATATAGGTACCTTTCAAAGGTCTGTTCAAACGTCCTTGTCACTCTGGTTCCAACAGTTAAAAGCGGAAGCCCGTGGAACTCTCTCCTGAAAACTCATAACACTGTCTAAGTACCTCCCTTGTCACCTATCATTTCTCCCTTGGACTATGTCCCCCTTCTCAGTCCACAAGCTCCTCAACAGCAAGATCCATGCCTGATTCATATCTGTCCCCTTGACAGTGATGTTTTAATGCGAAGAACATGGTCCACATTTAATAAATGTTTATGAATGAATGAGCACATAGAAAGTACCACGTTGGCATAGTGTGAATCTCTTTAGAAAAGTCTTGGGTGCTTATTCCTTTATTCCTGGGTAATTATTCCTTTACTCAACAATAAATACTGAGAAATTACGAGGTGCCAGCTACTTTTCTAGGTACTGGGAAAATAAGCGATAGATAAGAGATAAGAGCCCCGCCCCTTGGGCTCACAGGGCACTCAACTGATTTTTTTTTTTTTTTAATGTTTACTTATTTTTGACAGGGAGGGAGAGACAGAGCATGAGCGGGGAGGACCAGAGAGAGAGGGAGACACGGAATCCCAAACAGGCTCCAGGCTCCCAGCTGTCAGCACAGAGCCCGACGCGGGGCTCGAACTCATGGACCGCGAGATCATGACCTGAGCCGAAATCCAACGCTCAACCTACCGAGCCACCCAGGCGCTCCTCAACTGATTATTCTTAAACATCAATACCCCTGAAAGGAAGGTCAGGAGGTCTCTGGGAAGACAAAGAGTGTATCACGGGGCACCGGTTTGGGATTCCAGCAAACACAAGGACTCCGATGCCTGAACTTGGGTGGCAGTGCTAATGGCTACGATTTAGTAGAGACCAGTTCTGTGTCAGGCACTGTGTCTGATGCTCCCCAGGCGTATGGCCTTTCGTCGTCAAGCTAACCATGGCAGGAGCAGGAAGCCAAGGCTTGGAGAACTTGCACAACTTGCTTTTGGACTCCGTGTACAGATGAAGGAGGGAGAATTTGAGTGTCTCACAAATGTCCAAAAATGGCTTAACTCTGGGGCGCCGGGGTGGCTCAGTCGTGGTTCAAGGGTTCGAGCCCCGCGTCATCGGGCTCTGCGTTGACAGTGCGGAGACCTGCTTGGGATTCTCAGTCTCTCCCTCTCTCCCTACCCTTCCTCTGCTTATGCAGGCACACTCTCTTTCTCTTTCAAGAATAAATAAGTGAATTAAAAAAAAAAAACAACATTTAAAAAGTGGTTTAACTCTAAAACTCGGAAAGAAAAATGCTAGGTATTACTGTGGTGATTAACGGACGTTTGTAGGATTTTTATTTTTATCTTCTCTCGGTTTTCAGTTTAAAAAATTACCCTTAAGGAACATGTATTAATTTGAAGATTTAAACATAAGCATTAGAGAAAAGTTTTAGCGGTAATGTGGTGATGCTTCTGATAGGGCTCATACAGTAAACAGCAATTTCTTTTTTTAAATTTTTTAATAAAAAACATTTTGATAGAATTTATTGTCAAATTGGCTCACATTCAGTGTGTAAAGTGTGCTCTTGGTTTTTGGGGTAGATTCCCGTGGTTCATCACTTACACACAACACCCAGTGCTCATCAATGGAAATCTACTTGGCAATGAGAAAGAATGAAATCATGCCATGCTGCCGCCATTTGCGGCAACATGGATGGACCTGGAAAGTACGATGCTGAGTGAAAAAAGTCAGTCAGAGAAGACAGGTATCATATGCTTTCACTCATACGTGGATCTTGAGTAAATAGCAATTTCTAAGGAAAGTTCTGGAAATGGGTGAGTTAGTCCCTAGATTGTATGAGTTAGAACTCACCATGGGACACCAATCCTCTGGATGTTGGACAAATGTAAGTCTCGTTTTTTTAAGTCGTATCTTGAATATTTTCCCCCAAGGAGACCAAGGACAAGAAAAGGGCTAGCCACCTACTCAGAGTGATAGAAGCAATGCAGGAATGGGGTTTAGGAAGAGAAGAAACAAAAATTAAGATTAGACCTAATCTCTGGTCCAACGTTCTAGAGAACAAGCATGGTGCCTTAGGAAGAGCACAAAGTGACACAGTCCTGGGACTCAGTTTTCTTATCTATATGATGGGAATAACAGCACCCTATTGCTTAGAATGAAAAAAGTACCTGCAGTGCCTGGTCCTATTCCTGGCTCATCTTGGGCACCCCTTCTATTCTTTTATTCCAAGCCAGCGTGGACATACCTGCAATAAAGAACAATAATATTCACAACCCACTTCTCATACCTTCCTGATTCTTTTGTGGAAATCGCTTCTGGGGGTTAAAAAAAATAGGGGATGCCTGGCTGGCTCAGTGGGTTAAGTGTCTGACTCCTGATCTCAGCTTGTCTTGATCTTAAGGTGGTTTCAAGCCCCACACTGGGCTCCACACTGGGCGTGCAGCCTACTTTGAAAAAAGATAGGGGAGGCTTCTGGGGGAAACTGTCCCAGCACCAGAAAGATCCCATCCTTTAGAACAAAGAGAAGTGACAGCAGCACCTTCTCTTCCAAGGTAAAAATACAAGTGCCTTCGGTGTGACACATCCTGCACTCCAGACTTTGCAAAGTGGCTTTTATGAAGAATTTCCGGAAAAAAAAATAAATAAATAAAGCCACTCATTCCTTTGACTCTAAAAGATGAAACTTAACGGTGTTTTACAGGTTCCAAAGAGTCCCATTTCTGCTCTGGCATTCTGCCCATCTCTTTAGAAAATATAAGTGCCTGCGCAAGGTTTCGAGGAACATCTCTCCCCTAACCTCTCTGTGAGGTTCTGTGATGCTCCGTAAAAGAACAAGGCTCTCCTGTCCCAACTGGTGGAAGCAAAAAGCCCAGATATGGTAGCCGGCCTGAAAGCTGAATGATACCAGAGACACAGCTTTCTGCATCAGCAGGAAGATTTTCTCCAACGTTCTTGGCCCTGCCAGGATGATGCCTGGGAGATGCCCCGGTCCTTGGTCACCCTTACTCCCAGACACACCTCTGTCTTGTGCTTTATCTACTAAGACAACGTCCCTGCTGCAAGTTCCCCACACATTCCACATGGAAGAGGGCACTGGACATTTTTCTCTTCCCCTCCACTTTTGTTACAATCCTTCCGCCAAGGACGCTTTCTTTTTAGCCTTCCTCCAAGCCCTCAGGTCAAATGGATTAACTCCCAACTCCAGGCTCCCACGCTGCCTGTTAATCTGAAACGTCGTCTTCACTGTGCACCATTCTGTTTCGAGAAGCGAGAAGCAGGTGCAGGAGGGAATGAAGGCATTAAGGTTGCTGCTGTGGAAAGCTTTCTCTTCTCTTCACTGTCCTTCTGTATGGAAGATTCTGCCTAGATAGGCTTGGCCTTCTGCCTCCGCTCCTCCCCATAGTGGTGGAGCGAGCGTTGGAGGACAAGTCCATCGGCCCGATGTCTCAAGAAGCTGGAGGTAGCCTCATAAGCACCATGAACATTACTCTTTTGGTCTCTCTTTCTATCTCCTGGGGACCAGCGAGAAGCAGAGATCTGGGTGTCTCCTTTGGATGCTCAGATTTTCCCTCAGACGGGCTCTTCCATGGCCTAGGCTGGAGGAACCAGCAAGTTCATCTTGGCTCTTCAACTAAGCAACATTCTCCCCAACCACACGTTATCATTCATCGAGAGGTTTTGTTTCTCCGTCTTCCTGCCTAGTTTGCCTCATTTTGCAACTGGTTAGGAGGTCTGGTGGGAAGAGAGGACTGCTATATTTTGCAGGCTCTGGAAGAACTGCCTAGACAGGTGGGAGCTCCAGGACACCCGAATGAACTTACGGCACGTGTCTGTTTTGTCTGCCTGCCTAGCATTCATCCCATGGTGTCGCACCCGCTCGTGATGGGACGCACAGGAGAGGCGATCCGAAATGAAGGCCATCAGCCCAGTTGAGAACAAGACGTAGCTGAGTAAGTAGCTCTTGTGCTCCTGAGACAGGTTCATGCTGTGGGTATAAGAGACATTGGTGCACGGGTGGAAATTAAAGCAGCAGTGGGAAATCCCATTCCCCCCACAAAAGGTGCTCCAGTTCTGAGAGCATCAGGCACTTCAATCTGGAAGCTTCCTGGGGGAGCTGCGGCTTTTCTGTGACTTTTTCCATACACGCTGACCTTGCTTTCAGAACCCTGGAGGTGGTGGGCCTCCTTCTCTGGCCTCACAAGGTACTTGCATTTTCCCCCATGCTCCTTTGTCATCCCTTCGGGTGACAGTCCCCTGATGAGATTCAAGGCCACATGCTGGACATTTTGGCCACACTCCTCAGTGAGTCGCCGATTGATTTCAAGGCAATGTTGACCTGCGCGTAGGTGGCCATCTGCCCCATAATCACACCCTCCCCGCCAGAGACACAACCCACAGCCCGGTGCTCCCGTGATAGTTCTGACGATTCTGCCGCGTTTCAGAGTTACAGAAGCCTCAGTCGGTAACAGTCGCCTGGCGTAAGGACGATGAGTGAGGAGACAGGTTATAAGAGAAGGAGGTAGGAAGTCAGAGACTAACACTAAAGAAATAGAGGAAAGTCACCAGGGTCAAAGGAGAAATTGAAAGCATGCAGTGAATGGGAAACAATCTCACCAAATGAACCAAAACGGAGGCTCTTCCCCTATGGCTCCAGAACGTTCCTGACCTGACTCCCGCCTAAAACGCCTTGCCACCCCCCACCTCCCGTTTGTAGCCTCTTCTATCTTCCCCGTTTTAGGAGAAGCCACAATCCTCAGCCCCGTGGCAGGTGAGACTTCCACCCTGTTCCTCCAGGCCAAAAAGAGGAAGACGGAGCCTCTTTGTCCCATTTGCTTCACGCCCTCCCCTGCACCCCCAAGAATAGTTAATCCAATTGGTGCCGATCAGAGCCCCAGCCATGTTTCACCGAGGGACCAACGTGCTAGAAGTTGTCATTTCACCCACGGTGCAGCCGGCCTCCGGCGCTCCTTCACTGCCTGACTCGGGGTTATAGGAAGGGCTCCCCTTCTACCTCCACTCCCCTGAGGTGAGCCCGCCTGCTTGGGTCTTCCTTTGGGTGGACAGTGAAGGCCTGAGATTGTCTGTGCTTCTTAGTTGACAAGGTAGTCCTGCGATGCTGCAGGGAGTCGGCTGGGCGTCCCCTGCATTAGAAGATCCGCCTCTCCCCCCAGACAGGCTCCAAAGTCTGGATGTGGGGAAGACACATAGCCTACTCCGGCCCCCAGACCACATTCTCCAACACGGTTTACTGGAAAACTTGTACCGTGAGGCTTACGTGGCATTTTCTTGCCGCTCTAATAACGTATTTCTTTGACCCCCATTCAACTATCATGGGTTTTGACCCAGTTGGGCCACAATAGCTGGGGCATGCCGCAAAACGACCGGGAGGGCTTGCTAAACCACCGATCGCTAGCCATCATCCCCAGAGTTTCTGAATCAGCGGGGCCACGGATGGGGCCTGAGAATGAGCATTTCTGACAAGTTCCCGAATGAAGCTGCCAGTACTGATGTGGGGACCACACGCTGAAAGCCATTGGATTATACCCAGGAATGGAGGAAAGGTAGCCAACATCTTTTCATTAATACTGGCCACATTTGTAATTCCTCGTGGAATGAAATTTCTCCCCCCCACCCCAAATTCCGGGAGGGCAGCGACTTTGTCTATCTTGTTTGCAACTGTGTCTCCGGCGCCTTGCACAAATCAGCAGCTCGGTGATGATTTGTGAATGCATTAGGCCGAGCACCTGTCCTTATTAACGGGGACACCTCGGGGCCCCTGGGTGGCTCAGCCGGTTAAGCCTCCGACTCTTGACTTCGGCTCAGGTCACGATCTCCCGGTTCGTGAGGTCAAGCCCCGCATCGGGCTCTGCACTGACAGTGCAGGACCTGCGTGGGATCCCCTCTCTCCTCGCTCTGCCCCTCCCCCATCTGAGAATAAATAAATAAACTTTCTAAAAAATGAGGACACCTCTATCACACAAGAACACTCAGTCCCGCCACAAGGCAGTGAAGTATTATTACATAGAACCCTAGCAGGAGGTGTGCAGGAACATACCGTAAGGCTTCAGAGAGCTCCCTCTCCAAAGCTGCAGCCTGGACATCATTGCCTCACCTTGTCCATTTGCATGAAAACACGCCTTCCGCTCAAACTGGAAGAGGAACAGAAGGAGATATTTCCTTGCTTAGCCGGTCACGTGAGGGGGTCTGAGCAGTCAGTGCCTCCCGCTTCCAGCCCTTGGTGAGAAAACAGCGCTCTGCGTTGATTGTTATTAAAGACGATGGCCATAGTGCGCCTCGTAAATTGTCTGCAGGGTTGCTAACAACCCCGAATGCCAATTGTTCATCAGTTTGTTCTGGGTACATTGGAATGCGGCTCGAGCTGTGATGAAGGAATGGTCTCAGAAACAAATCAGATTTGGTGCAGGAAGCCACATCTATATTTCATGTGCCTGCTTCTGCAGGACTGGCTCAGTAATTGGTTTAAAAATATCCGTGACATCTGTTGATTCTTCTACTTTTAAGTGCGAATATTTATCTTTGTCTCTTTTGCAAAACATTATGCTGCCAAGTGGAGAAAGGGGAGAAAATGTTGCAGTAGCTACAGCTAAAAAGCTTTGGTCCCTCCCAGCACTCGGAGCTCAGATCGATTTGCTACTCAGTCTGGCCTAATACAGAATCACAGCTCCCTCAGACCCTTGTGGGAATGAAACAGACGATAAATAAGGACATGGTATGACTATAAATGAGCAACTCACTCACTTGTACGTATGGCAATAATTTCCCAGTGTTGAAATGCAGGGGTTTATAATTCCAAATTTTTACATTTGTATCCCAGAACTAAGGGATCCCACACATTACATTTGTATCCCAGAACTAAGGGATCCCCCCAAAAAGCCACGCCCCATCTAGCTTTCTCACTTGGGGGAGTCTTTCTGGAAAGCTTCGACTGTGCTCTGGCCAGTAACGTTAGATACAAAATGGGGATGATAGACGGAGCCAGAAGTAGAATCCAGATCTGTCCATACCTACAGTCTATGCCTGGATGCCTGACTGAATCTTGCCCATTTTCCTATCATAACATTTGACTTTTTCTAGTTCATTTCTAAACGTGCCCATATGTCCTTTAAAATAAAATGCACGGGGAGCCTCGGTAGCCCAGTCGATTAAGCGTCCGACTCTTGGTTCCGGCTCAGGTCATGATCTCGCAGTTTGTGAGATCGAGTCCCATGTTGGGCTCTGCGCTGACAGTGTGGAGCCTGCTTGGGGTTCTCTCTCTCCCTCTCCCCCTCTCTCTCTCTCTGCCCCTCCCCTGCTTTCTCCCTCTCAAAATAAAGAAATAAACATTTTTAAAAGGGGTAGATTTTTTAGAGCAAGGAAGGCATATGCTGAGGGAAACAGAAAGCCACATGGACGCTAGACCCCCAAGAAAGGTGGGAAGATCACAGGGTCACAGTGTTCCCTGATTCCTGCTCTTCTCGTGTTTTCAATAACTCTATATGTCGTTAATTCCCTTTACGTAACCACTTTGTGCTTCAAGTCCCCAGAGAAGTCTCTGTTTCCGAGATGGACGGACAAGGGTTCTCTTCCCAGCCCTGCCACCACGGAGCGCTTCCCTTGAACTGGCGACTCCCCCTTCTCCATCTGTCAGATGTGGGGGGTTGGACTTGGCTGAATCTAAGTTCCCCTCCAGCTCTAACATGCCGGGAGCCCATAAAAACAACAACAACAACAAACAAAAAAACATTCACACTAGGAAAGTATCTTCTGGCCTCTCCCTCCTCACTCCCTGACCTCAAAGCTGAGGGGGCTTCGTTTACCTTGTCAGTAGCAGCCATCACACTGAGAAACTATGTTTTACTGGTGAAATTGTATCCAGAACCAGGAAGAGGCGGATGTCAGACACACTCACGGGTGCCAGTTCATCCACCTTCCATTTCCCCTAGAAACTGACTCAACGCCCAGAAACATTTCAGTTAGTGGCTACCCGTCTATTGCCTTCTCCCCAGTGAAACCCAGTAACTCTCCCTGGACTTGTCCTTAACCTACTCCAGAAAGACCTGTGCAGGCCCAGGCAGAACATTTGGGTAACTTTGAACACCGTGCATTGCTAATATTTCTTAACTTTCCTTGCTGGCAGAAGGCAGCAGGCAGAGGAGAGAGACCCTGTGGCCTCCCTGAATTAGGTTAGAGTCCTGCCGTATTAGTCCGCTCAGGCTGCTGTAACAAATACCATCGACCAGGCGGCTTAAAGTACAGACATTTATTTCCCATGGTTCCAGAGGCCAGAAGGCCAAAATCAAGGTACCAGTAGATTCGGGCTCCCGGTGAGAGCCCTCTTCTTGGCTTGAAGACAGCTGGCTTCTCACTGTGCCCTCACAGGGCAAATAGCCAGTCCTGGTCATTCTTCGTCATCTAAGGACACTAATCCCATCTTGGGGGCCCACCCTCATGACCTCATGTAACTAATTACCTCCCAAGGTCCCGACCTGAAATACCATCACTCCTAAGGTTAGGGCTTCAACACTTAATTTTAGGGTGACACAAACATTCAGACCACAGCACCTGCTTTCTCCCTTCCTAGCCGGGATTCCGCTTACACCTCCTCAAGGACCTCTTCCCAGACACCGCTCTCATTCTAATGTCACAAGGCTACGTGTGTCCCATTATGTCACTTCCTACCGCATCATGGGTTATCACGTGGCACAATACACCTCGCTCCCCAATAGGGAGGATGCTCCGTGAAGGTGAGAACACGTAGGTCATTCACAGCTGTAACCCGGGACCCGGTGCAAAGCAACATAAGATGAAGAAATGCAGGGTCCATGAATCTGGGACTGGGGATAATTTAATTAACGTCTCGGAGCCTCGCACTCCTTGATAACAGTCACCTTGCTCTGCTCTTATGAAGGTTAAATGCAGTTGTGCGTGGAAGGGATTAGCCATTAGCTATTGTGGGGAAGGGCTTGTACTTTGAAGATGGACAGATCTGGTGTTGGTTTGCTGTTGTTTATTTTAGATGTATGTTTATCTTTTTAATTTTTTTTTTTAAGTTTACATCCAAGTCAGTTAACATACAGTGCAACAATGATTTCAGGAGTAGATTCCTTAAAGCCCTTACCCATTTACCCTATTTCCCCTCCCACAACCCCTCCAGTAACCCTCTGTTTGTTCTCCATATTTAAGAGTCTCTTATGTTCTGTCCCCCTCCCTGTTTTGATATTATTTTTGCTTCCCTTCCCTTATGTTCATGTTTTGTATCTTGAATTCCAAATATGAGTGAAGTCATATGATATTTGTCTTTCTCTAATTTCGCTCAGTGTAATACAATCTAGTTCCATCCATGTTATTGTAAATGGCATTCTTTTTGAATGCCGAGTTATACTCCATTGTACATATAAACCACGTCTTCTTCTTTTTTTTAATGTTTATTTTTGAGAGAGAGAGAGAGACAGACAGACAGAATGTGAGCAGGGGAGGGGCAGAGAGAGAGGGAGACGTAGAATCCGAAGCAGGCTCCAGGCTCCGAGCTGTCAGCCCAGTGCCCACCATGGGGCTCAAACTCACAGACCGCGAGATCACGACCGGAGCTGAAGTCGGACGCGTCACCGACTGAGCCACCCAGGCGCCCCACAAACCACGTCTTCTTTATCCATTCATCTGTCAATGGACATTTGGGCTCTTTCCATATTTTGGCTATTGTCGATAGCGCGGCCATAAACATCGGGGTGCACGGGCCCCTTTGAAACAGCACAGCTGTATCCTTTGGATAAATACCTAGTAGTGCCATTGCTGGATCGTAGGGTAGTTCGATTTCTAACTTTCCGAGGAACCTCCATGCTATCTTCCAGGGTGGCTGCACCAGTGTGCACTCCCACCGGCGGTGCAGGACCGATCTGGTTTTGATCCCAGCTGCCCCACTGACCAGCAGTGTGATCCCGACGAGGTGGCTTCACCTCTCTGAGGCCTTGTTTAGTTTTTACATCAAATGGGAACATCAGGGCTGAAGTCACTGGGCTAATGTCAGTATTCAGTGGAACACCTAGGGCAGCGCCTGGTCCACAGAGGCATGCCGAAACATGTGCTCCTGCTGATAGACACAAGGCAGGCGGGTCTGCCGGCAACCATCTTGGAAGGGATCTCGGGAGGTTCTGTTAGAGACTCAAGGTCCAGGTGGTTGAACCTGGCTTCCTGCCTGCATGGAAACATCCACCAGCATCCCAGCTGCCCCTGTTTGCCGGCAGTGTTCTTGCTTCATCACGAGGATGAAAACAAGGCACGACCGGCCTCTTTGCCTCCATCGATCCACTGCGCTGCGGTGCTCCCGGGACCAGCAGAGTGACTCCTGTGTCGGCGCCAGTGACGGGAGTAAACCCAGCTGGAATGAAAAGTGTGACTAGCTCTCACACCTGCGGCGGAGGGCGCTTATTTATTTTTAATTAATTTATTTTTATATAATTTATTGTCAACTTGGTTTCCAACGTTTATTTATTTTTGGGACAGAGAGAGACAGAGCATGAACGGGGGAGGGGCAGAGAGAGAGGGAGACACAGAATCGGAAACAGGCTCCAGGTTCTGAGCCATCAGCCCAGAGCCCGACGCGGGGCTCGAACTCACGGACCGCGAGATCGTGACCTGGCTGAAGTCGGACGCTTAACCGACTGCGCCACCCAGGCGCCCCTTTTTATTTTTATTTTATTTTTTTTTAATTTTTTTTTCAAAAGTCAACTTGGTTTCCATACAACACCCAGTGCCTCTCCCAACAGGTGCCCTCCTCGATGCCCATCACCCACTTTCCCCTCTCCCCCACCCCCCCCCCATCAGCCCTCAGTTTGTTCTCAGTATTTAAGACTCTCTTCTGGTTTGCCTCCTTCCCTTTCTGTAACTCCCCCCCCCCCCAACTCCCCTCCCCCTGGTCTTCTGATTAAGTTTCTCAGGAGCCACATATGAGTGAAGGGTGTTTAGAAACAAAACTCCTATGTGTTTTCCTGAGGTGCGGGCACTGCTCTTTTCTCATTTGTGTGACAAAGAGAAAAAGCTCTCGGGCACGTAAGGGAAGAAAGGAATGTGCGGGACGCCAAGATTTCCTCACACGATCTCAAAGGTCTCCTCAGTTTGGGAATTGTTTGATTCCAATAGCACCGTGCCAGGTAGTTTTAGGGGCCACTTCCTGTCCTGATTCCTGCTTTCCTTGTGCCTTCCTTACAAGAGAGACCCTCCTGCTTCAAGAAATCAACAGTCCAGCCACGGACCAAGTGCGGAACTCGTGGTATTGCTTTTCTTTATGACCCTCGATCATTGGTATGGTGTTCGATTTATAGCTCAAGACACAGGAGCCCGAAGAAAGGGGCAGCATGCCAGGTTCCGCAGGTGTGAAGGGGGCATTGTGGGTCCCACGTTCTTGTACCCACGATGCTAAATCCCTGCCTTCAGTATTTTGCTCAGCAGAGAAAAGTGCACGATGACAGGAGAGGGAGGATGGAACCATCCATGGAGGTAAACGGAAATGGGGAACCATGGAGACCCCGGAGAGAGGCAGAAATGTGTGTGTAACTTTCCAGCTCCCAGGTCCACGTGGCCCAACGGTACATTGTTTCCTGCATTTGACATCCATGAACTTGCCTCTCACGTCTCCTAAGACTCCCCCTTGACTTAGGCTGGCTTTAAAGACCTTTGGTTGACAAGAACATGCTAAGAACCCAAATCAGAATCACAGAGACGCATAGACATCATAGGAAGCACAGACTGTGTACCAGGCTCTGGGAATCATGAGTCATTTGGTTTGGCCGCAGTGATTTTTTTTTTTTTTTTAACGCTTTATTTATTTTCGAGAGAGACGCAGAGTGCGAGCAGGGGAGGGGCAGAGAGAGAGGGAGACACAGACTCTGAAGCAGGCTCCAGGCTCCGAGCTGTCGGCTCAGAACTCGCTGGGGGGCTTGAACCCCCAAACGATGAGATCATGACCTGAGCCAAAGTCAGACGCTTAACCCACTGAGCCACCCAGGCGCCCCTGACTGAAGCAATTTTGGATTCAACAGTATCCCAGTATGCCCCCAGTGGACTAGATACTTAGTTACTAAACAGACAAAAGTCTACAAAGGAACATGGATGTCCTCTCAGAGAACTTATTATTTATTCGTTTATTCTGCCACTTGCACCTGTTGCCCCAGGAGTAACAGCCTGGAAGCCAATGTTGCAGCATTCTCTGGCCGCATCTATGCAGGATCCCTCCCTCCACCTCCTTACCTGCCCAGGCCTGCTGCCTCAGGCAGGGCCCCTGCCAAGCTTGATTTACATAAGGCTCTTCTGTGTATCTATGCAATCCTGGAACTCCAGGAACCCTGAGGACTGGAGCAGACCTTAGAGAGCATCCATCCATCTTCCCAATGTGCAGAAAGGCAGCTAAAGTCAAGTCAGGTAGAGTTACTGTCCCGAGGCCCACTGTTTGTGGGGCCCTGCTGTGGATTGGCCCCAAGTCTTAAATGGAATGGATTTTCAATGGTAGAAATCCTGAATTCGTAGGAAACTTCTGCAAGCGTTTGAACTCATGCCACAAAGTGAAGAATTCGCATTGTTCTTGGCAGCCATGCAAATTGTAACTCTCAGCTACGTCCCATGAGGACACGACCATGGGTCAATCGTTCCATGATCCCTGAAGCTCGCTCCCAGGCCGTCATGAGCTCCGACTGCACCTCCAGTTTGGAAGGGAACAGGCTGGATGGCCAATCTCAGACTTCCCTAGTTCCAAGGAATTTTGAAACTCCTCCCTTTTCGCACACTTGTCAGGTTCCCCTCTGTAGCGTCTCTGGCAGGCGGACATCCAGCCCCTGCTGGGATACCTCTGAAAATAAACAGTTTGCTGCTTCGTGAGTCACCACGCATACCTACCAGAGAGCTCAGATGGCTTCCCGGTATGAGTGCGGTTTTCCTTCCTGAATGTGACGGGGCAGTCCTGCGTTGTCCTCCAGCCGGGTCTATTCCTTCAGCTCTCTGAAGACCTTCTGGCAATTCCAGTCTTTTCCATTCCATCTCCTCCATCCACACCCCACTCCTTGACCAGCTCCTCTGTGGGCACCCACTTGCTCTTTCTAACCTCCGTTTCCACTCCTGCATTTTTCTCCAGGAAAGAAAAACGGGCATCAGAAAATTAGCTCTGGATTGCCAATTAGCATCCCTAGGAGTGCAGAAAAGGAGCAGTTTATCATTTTGTCTTCTCAAAGTAAATTAGTACCATTTAGCCTTCTCGGCGTTACATGCTTTACCTGGATCTTCTTAATTAAGGGGTCGCACCTGCAATCCTGGTTAAGGAAATCTATGTTTACTCAGGGATTTCCATGAGGACGCCGTGTGGAACAGAGAGAAGGCGACGGGCAGAGTGACTGAAGTCACCAGCAAGGGGAGCTGCAGTGAGGGTGGCTCCAGGAAGCAGGGGGACAATGACTTGGTGGACACAAGGGAATGAACGGTGACCAGGGGTCTCAAGAAAGCGGACTGCGGGGGGGGGGGGGTGCTCACCATGGTTTGTGGCCCATCTGGCACCACTTCCGTCTTCCTCTGCTAACTTCTTCTGTGATCACCCCACCCAAGTGGCCAGGTGACCCCGGCTGGCCAGACACCGGGACAGAAACAGGTTGAGACCAACTAGGATGGAGACTTACATAGACCTGATTTAGAAAACACTGCCAAAAAAAGTGGGGGTGCCTGGGTGGTTCAGTCTGGTGAGCAGCGGACTTCAGCTCAGGTTATGACCTCGTGGTCCATGAGTTCGAGCCCCACGTCGGGCTCTGTGCTGACAGCTCGGAGCCTGGAGCCTGCTTCGGATTCTGGGTCTCCCTCTCTCTCTGCCCCTCCCCTGCTTGCACTCTGTCTCTTTTTCTCTCAAAAATAAATAAACATTAAAATTTTTTTTTTCAATGAAAATAAACATTCCAGGAGTGTCTGGGTGGCTCAGTATGTTAAGCATCCAACTCTTGGTTTTGGCTCAGGTCATGATCTCATGGTTTGTGAGTTCGAGCCCCACATCAGGCTCTGTGCTGACAGCCTAGAACCTACCTGGGATTCACTCTCTCTGCCCCTTCTCTGTTTGAGCTCGTTCTCTCTCTCTCAAAAGGAAATAAATAAACATTTTTTTTTAATTTTTTTTTTCAACATCTATTTATTTTTGGGACAGAGAGAGAGACAGAGCATGAACGGGGGAGGGGCGGAGAGAGAGGGAGACACAGAATCGGAAACAGGCTCCAGGCTCCGAGCCATCAGCCCAGAGCCCGACGCGGGGCTCGAACTCCCGGACCGCGAGATCGTGACCTGGCTGAAGTCGGACGCTTAACCGACTGCGCCACCCAGGCGCCCCAATAAACATTTTTTTTTTTAAAAGAAGAGAAGCAGTCCACTTTTCCTTGGAAATAATGAGCTGTGATGATCATATAGTCCTAGAACCAATGGTCTGTGGCTCATCTTTCCTGCCATGTAAAGAGAGCCATCTGGAGAATGAAATCAACACATGGAGGAAAGTTGAACCAGGATATGTTGGGATAGAAAAATCCATGATGATCCCATTTCAGCCCCTGGATCTCATCACTCCTGAACCCACATTTCTGAACCTTAGACATTCCAGGTATAGGCAGTTATAAATCCTCATTTTACCCAAGCCTACCTTCAACCAAGAGTCTTGGCAAACACATGGGTTGAGATACAAATCAGACCACACTGACAGGTGTAGGAAGAATTCCTCCAAGAATCTGAGGCATGAATTTGGCACACAATTTGGTACCCACTACCAAGTCTATGGCAGATCTTTGAATGTACCACTCCAGGGTTGGAAAGTTCGAGCTTTCCAATTATCCACTGAGAATTGCCAAATCGCCTCTCAGGAAAGGGAAACATTTTAGCCCAAAGGAAAGAAAAGCAGCAAAGCTTCAGATACTCACAGAAAGGTGAGCACTGTGTTCCCTCAATTATTCAAGTACCACGTCAGCATAACAGCCGTGTGTCTTGGGTTGGTAGGCTGACGCAGTCTCCCACAAAACAGCATCTGGACAGCCTTCTACTGAGGCCCATGGGCAGACCCTTCTAGGACCTCATTTCGGACCCTCTTTGCGGAAATTGACTTACTCGCTTAACCGACATTATCTTAGCGCCTTCTGTCTTTCAGGCACTGCACTTGGCATCGGGAAACAGCCATGCACAAGGACAGCAGAACCGCTGCCCTAAGGGCACTCACAATGGAGTTGGAGACATAATTTAACAAGCCATCACAATGTCACTGTGCTAATAAGAGAATAAGAGTTCCAAGGGAACACATAACGAAGGTATCTGTTTCCTATCGCTGTGTATGAAATTACCATCAACTGAGTGTTTGAAAACAGTACACAGGGATAATCTCAGGGTTCTGTAGGTGGGAAAGCCCAGTGGATTGGGAGGTTCTTTGCTCAGGGTCTAGGAGGACAGAATGAAGGTGTCAACCAGGCAAGGCTCTTATCCGGAGCTCATTCAGTTTGGCAGCAAAATTCTGCTCCGTGTGGTGCTGGCACTGAGGTTCCCGTGTCCTTGCTGGCTTTCCTAGGAGGGTGGGAGTGGGGGTGGGGGCGGGGGTGGGATGCTCTCTGCCCTTGGAAGTCACGCTCATCCTTTCTCACGTGGCTCTTTACATCTTCAAACCGGAAATGACACTTTGAGTCTTTGAATCTCTCTAACATCCCCTTTTGCCTTCCTCTTCAACCACCGGCCAAAGAAAGTTCTCTGCTTTTAAGGACATAGGTGATTAGATTAGGTCAACCCAGAAAATTCCCCCCTTTTAAAATCGACCAACATAGGATTTTCATCAGATCCGCAACACCTAGATTATCGTTTGACTAACTCACCAGGGAATGAAAATCTTGAGAGCTTCTTTAGAATTCTTACCACAGCAAAGCACCTAATCCAGGCTGTGAGAGTCACGGAAGGCTGCCTGGAGGAAGCGGTACGTGAGCTGAGCTCAGAAATTAGCTAGAAAGCCACTAATAGGCAGAGCAAAGTTCCCAGTGAAGAATCAAGAGAGATCTAGGCACATAGGAGAATAGGTGGGGGAAATTCCGGATGGCTGGAGTGAAGCTTAGAGGAAAAAACAAGGAAAGACGAGATCAGAGGGCAGAGTAAGGACACCGTCATAAAGTTTCTAGCAAGCGGGGCGCCCGAGTGGCTTAGTCAGTAAAGTGTCTGACTTCAGCTCAGGTCATGATCTCACAGCTCGTAGGTTCGGGCCCCACATCGGGGCTCTCTGCTGTCAGTGCAGAGCCTGCTTCAGATTCTCTGACTCCCTCTCTGCCCCTCCCCCACTCCCAATTTCTCTCTCGTTCTGTCTCTCAAAAATAAATAAATAAATATTAAAAAAAAAAAAAAGGTTCTAGTAAGCTCTGCCCCACCTCCCACATCTCATTCAAGGGCCTCAGGTTGGATGGACCTATGTTAGCTGCCGGTATATCTGAAATTAAAGCTTTTAGCTTTTTAGCCTCTGCAGGAGGCTGTGTGAGTACAGAGTTTCCGAGTCCCGTACCCCGTAGGCACTAACAAAATGCTTTTCTTCTCCTTCTCATCATCTTTTTGTGTTCCTGTTTCCCTCGAATCCTAATTCACAAATTCATTCTTTCACAATATACTGATTGAGCATCTTTTCTGCCTGGAGCTGCTATGCACAGAAGATACGAAGATAAACAGATCCGTGGGAGTGCTTCTGAGGAGGCCACAGTCCAGAGGGATAAACTGATGTGTAGTGTCAACAAATAAGTCACAGAGCACGCAGGTAATATCGTGATGGAGGTCGCGGGGTTTGGGAAGTATCCCTTCATAATTTACCCAGTAATAATAATTTACCCAATAATACCCAACTTGTGGTGTGGATGTGGCATCTAAAATAGTCAACCTGCAGGAACAGAGAACAGAAGGTGGCTGGCAGGGGCTGGAGGAGTGGGGGAAATGGGGACGAGACAGTTGGTATTGTACACTTGAAACTTGCTAAGAGGATTGCTGCTATGTTTGGGGTTTTTTGTTTTTATGTTTTTTTTTTTTTTAATTTTTTTTTTTCTTTGCAACGTTTTTATTTAGTTTTGGGACAGAGAGAGACAGAGCATGAACGGGGGAGGGGCAGAGAGAGAGGGAGACACAGAATCGGAAACAGGCTCCAGGCTCCAAGCCATCGGCCCAGAGCCCGACGCGGGGCTCGAACTCACGGACCGCGAGATCGTGACCTGGCTGAAGTCGGGCGCTCAACCGACTGCGCCACCCAGGCGCCCCTGTTTGGGGGTTTTTAACGTGTGTGTGTGTGTGTGTGTGTGTGTGTGTGTGTACCAACCGATCCACCCAGGCATCCCAAACAGCTGCTCCGTTAAGTGTTCCTAACACCAAAAATAATGCTCTCCGGACGGAGTCTCCTCTCCCTCTGCAGAGAGGCTGACGGCATCTTCCTCATAGAGCTGCCGTGGGGGTGATATGTGTATTAGAAGTAAAGCGCTCAGGGGCGCCTGGGTGGCTCAGTCGGTTGGGCGTCTGACTTCGGCTCAGGTCATGATCTGGCGGTCTGTGAGTTCGAGCCCCGCGTCGGGCTCTGTGCAGACAGCTCGGAGCCTGGAGCCTGCTTCCGATTCTGCGTCCCCCTCTCTCTCTGCCCCTCCCCCACTCATGCTCTGTCTCTCTCGGTCTCTCAAAAAATAAACGTTAAAAAAAGCAACACACACACACAAAATTTAAACAAAAAGAAGTAGGATTGGAGGGAAGATGGCGGCGTAGGAGGACGCTGGGCTCACCGCGCATCCTGCTGATCACTTAGATTCCACCTACACCTGCCTAAATAACCCAGAAAACCACCAGAGGATTAGCAGAACGGAGTCGCCGGAGCCAAGCGCAGACGAGAGGCCCACGGAAGAGGGTAGGAAGGGCGGCGAGGCGGTGCGCGCTCCACGGACTGGCGGGAGGGAGCCGGGGCGGAGGGGCGGCTCGCCGGCCAAGCAGAGCCCCCGAGTCTGGCTTGCAAAAAGCGGAGGGGCCTGACGGACTGTGTTCCGACAGCAAGCGCAACTTAGCGGCTGGGAGGTCATAAGTTAACAGCTCTGCTCAGAAAGCGGGAAGGCCGGAGGACAAAGGGAA